CGGGCTGCCTGGTCCCTCTTCGTCCCCGCCGGGGGACATTGCAGGGGCGCCCTGGAAGGTGTCAGGGCATCTCCGAAGCAAGGAAGCCCTGCGGGGGAACTTCCCCACTCCCAGCCCCGGCCACCTCGGGTGGCATCCTCTCCCCCCCTTCCCTCCCGCGACTCGCTTTCAAGGAGTGCCTTTCCCCGGCCATCTGGTGCACATGGGGGGGGGAGCAGAGAAAGCAGCGGCCGCACAGAGGTTAGGGGCGCCTTGCTAGGCTGGGGGGAGGCGGGGGAAGTTTTTGCGGGCGATCTGCAGGCAGGGCACACAGCTGCTCCCAGCCAACAGGACAGGGCAGGCTACATAAGTGGCGGAGGCCAAGATCCAGAAGGCACTCCTGCCGCCACTCAGCCCTGTCCCTACAGGGCCCCCCAGGGAGGGAGGGCGCCTTGTCCATCAGCAGCAGTGCGCAGGCGGCGAAAGAAAAGGGAGGGAGGTGAGGGGAAGGGCGAGAGCTGGGCCGTCAGGCGGGCTGGCTGGCTGGCTGGCTGGCTGGCTGGCTGCCTGCCTGCCTGCCTGCCCACCCACCTTCGCATGGCGCCTCCCCAGGAGGCCGGCTTCCTCCGGGGGGCTCTTGGCAAAGCACAGGTCCACATAGGTCATCCCCTCGGAAGCCCCAAAGTTGGAAGTCAGCACCCAGAAGCTAACGCCTCACCAGCCCCCGGGGAAGACTCACAGGGGAGTTTAGTGGGGGAGTTCCTCTCTCTCTCTTCCCCCCCCCCCAGCCCATTCAAGAGAGATTCAGGTGGGTTGCCGTGTGCTGGCCAGAGAGCAAGGTTTCAGTCCAGACTAGCACCTTGAAGACCAGCAAAGTTTAATTCAGGGTAGAAGCTTTGTGTGCACACGACTGGACTCGAACTTAGTTCCATTGCACACACACCATTCAAGGTTATTCCTTCTGCCGACATAGGCATTCTGCAGGGCTTGTTTTTCCTGATCGTTGTTTGCTTGTGTAACCCCAAATTTCTTTCTTCCTTTTGTGGAGAGGGGTGGTGCCACAAGGCAGCCTCACGAGGGGGGCCCACGAGCTAGCCTCGCGGAGGGGCACAAGGTAGCCTTGCCCTAGTGCGCAAAAACACTTCGGGCCAGCCCTGGAACCAGCAAATGAAATATCTACTCAAAGAGAGAAAAAAGAAGAATATATGGAACCTCAAACTACTTGAAAAATGGATTATAGATGGTTACCACCAGAAGATACATTTCATCTACAAGGGGAAAAGGCACAAAATTAAGACTTTAAGGCTTAAGAGGAGAAATCAGAGAATGAAGAAGAGGATGAAAACCTATGGAAATGCTCCACAATTTTGTGGATAAGAGAGAATACACAAGCATCAAATATTTGGATAAGGGAGAGAATACAGTCCCTCATGATTTTATAAAGGTTTGAATAATATAATTAATATACTGCTGTTCAAAACTACATAAAGGAGTTGAAACATTGGAAAATATACCAGAAGAGTATAAAAAATTTACTTTTTGAAACATATGTGAAAGATTATTGTAAGAATATAAGGTCAAATTTGGAAAACAAACACTGAGGTATTTAAATAGGTAATTTGATGAGGTAATGAAATCCCCTACTAGTTGGATGCCTATGTAAATGTTTGTTTATGTATGAAACTATATGGTTTAGATTTTGAGATGAACTAAAGAATACAATAGTTAAAGTATACAGATATATAACCTTTCATAGAATACAAAAACTTATATCTAAAATATGCAAAATATTTTTGTAAGAACATATGGTGGAACATGGAACATGGAAATCAAATATAGTATGAGGTATCCAGTCATGTAAATTGATGATATAACTTAACCCCACACATTTATGTATTTGTGTGTTTTGTCTGTGTGATGTTTGTCTTTATAAAAAATAAAATCTTTTTAAAAATTCCCTGGCATTGGTAAGGTTGAAGAACTACTAGTATTTTTTCTCTATGACACACTAACCACTGATTTAAATACGGGGCGGTGTTTTCACATGAACATTTTATCATGTGGGCATTGGAAGGAAACTAAATTCTCTCACAAATTGCTTCCATGTGGTGGTTTTGTGAGGTGGAAGCACTATTTATCAGCAACCAATGAAGGACCCTCAGGAAATGCATGTGCTCAAATCACACGAAATATAAAATGTCTGCCAAACAGGCAACAGCACCATGGATGCAAAAACCATCAGGAGGCAAGTCCGGCCTGTTCAGATTACTCTGTTTCATTTTTTTTTAAGTGTGAGTGAATTTGTGTGAATGACAAGGACTGAGCCCCTTCCCAAGCTGAACTGTGTTAATACCCAGAACAGAGACAACAGACAAGGATATTTCTTCCAGACAGATAATCCCCTGCACCCACACTCAAAATGTTTTTGCAGATAAGCTGCAAAACCGTCTGTTCTGATTTCTGAGGGATCCATAGTGGGAGCAGAATTAACATTACCCATAAATGCATTAGAAAGCTGAGGAAATGGGGCAGCCACGTGCTATGGCGACGGTAACACAAGGCTATGCTGCCTCACATTAACCAATGTTCCTCTCTCACACCTTCTTGCAGCTGCACCAGATCCAAATAGGAAAGGTCAGATTAGCACCCAAGAAGGCCATGGGGACTTCACCATGCCAAACACATGTACTTAAGAAGACCCCTGCCGGATCGGACTCAGTGGCCATCTAGTCCAACAGCCTGTTACCCACAGTTGAGAACCAATTGCCCCTGGAAGACCAAAAAGCAGGGCATGAATGACAAAGCTGCCCTTTCGGAGGTACACTGTCACTAAAATTGAAGTTCCATTTATCTATCATACTAAAAGGTACTGTTGGACCTATTCAAAGCTAGTGGCCATCACTGAATCCTGGGGCAGTGAGTTCCACAAGTGGAGTGTACAGTATGTGCAGTGTCAATTAACTGGCTCAGTTAAGGGGCACACTGTGCTTGTGCAGCCTCTCTCAGGAAGCTACTGGTCTTTGTTTTCCTGCCCAGTGGAAAGGTGGATTTTGCCACTTTCAGGGAAGCAGAACAGTTGCAAGGATCTCCTCCCCACCCAGCAAGGGAATAAGATGCCTGGATTCACCAGTGATTGCAGATGCACTACTTGGCAAAAGGGGGTCTGTATACACCCCCATGACAAGGGTCAGAGGCTGATTCTCATGGAGGCCCATGGACTGCATCTTTCAGTATACAGCTGAATCTTACAAAGTGGCTGCAGGACCGGTCAATTTGAACTGAGGCTTCAATAGTGGGATTGGGGGGGAGGTTAATCCATTTCTCCTTCACCACATTCCCAACAGAATGGGTCACCACTGAGCAGTTACTAGTCTCAGCAGGGAAAAATGAAAGAAAACAGTGTGGATGTCCACTTTTTTTCTTGCCAGGACTAATAGTTTCTGTCAGTCTTGGGGGCTGGAAAGATATAATCACACCAGTCCCAGGACAGTAGCCCTGACCCACATCTCCCCTCCCCCTCCCCCTGGCATTCAGACTTACATTTAAATATTATATTGCACCTTGTGGGATCTACAGTGCAATCCTAAACGGAGACTTAGAAGGGTGCAACTCTGTACCAGACACAGATATCCTATGTAACTGATAGTGGGGCTCTTACACTCAGAGGTCATTTCGGGGGGGATCGCGGGGGAACGCAGTTCCCCGGGTGAGGTGCGGGGGGCGGGGCACATGACAAAGCCCTGCCCCCTGCTTCCAGCCGCCCCGCTTCCAGCCTCATTCAGGCAGAAGGAGGCAGGAGAAGAGGGAGGGTAAGTTGCTTCCTCCCCGCCTCTCCCCACCCCTGCCTGCCTGGGGCCAGGGAGGGCCTTGGCGGGGCTTCCTCGCACTCCCGCTGGCCTTGCAGGTCCACCGCCGGGCCCCTGATGTCAGGGTGTGTGGCATATGCTAATGAGTTATGCTAATGAGTTCCCCTAGCTCTTTTTCTACGAAACGACCCCTGCTTACACTAGTGGAAAGCACTTTATACCATGATGAAACCCATTCAATCATGGATTAAGATGAATGGGTGTGTTGTGGAGTCCCACTTGCTCAGTCGCAACACCCCCCAAACAGCTGCCATATTTTGCTGCAGGGGCTGCTAAGGGGCTTGTGTAGAGAGCACCATGCCTCTGTTAGCACACATGCTGAGAAGAGAAACAGGACAGCAAGGTGAGGTCACTAAGCAGGGGAGAAGATTCCAGCTTAGCACAGGCAACTTCAGAAACTCTGGCTCCTCTGACTGGCAGTTAAAGGCCAATAAATTAAATATTTCTTTATATACTTCATTTACACCCTGTCTTTCTCCCTAACGGGACACCCAAGCAGCTTACAACATTCTCCTCTCCTCTTTATCCTTCACTCTTGTGAAGCAGGTTAGGCCGAGAGTGTGTAAGCAGTACCGCTGGATCAGGCTGACTGGCCATTGATCACCTGGGCCATAGCATCCCCTCTTAGACTCAGTATGCTGTGCAATAGGAGTGTGTACGTTTAGTCGCAATGGATCCTTGGGCATGCCCACTGTAGTTAACTGTTTTAAAATGTTTTATTCGTTTTTAGCGCACTGTGTGCCTTGATTGTGGTGACCATGGTGTTGTATTACATCGGTGTACTGTGAGCCGCCCTGAGCCTGCGTGCAGGGAGGGCAGGATATAAATGTAATTAAATAAATACATACATAAATAACTGGCCCACGGTCACCCAGCACGTTTCCTTGGCAGAGTGGGGGTTCAAACTTGGGTCTCCCAGATCCCAGTCTGACTTTCTAACTGCTACACCACACTGGATCTTCCTCTTTCACATTAGTTTGAGTGCCAAGTAGTGCTTAACCATTTCCTTTGCTTTTGGGGAAATCAATTGAGATTCACCAGTATCTTGGGGGTCTTGGAAGCAAGCCTTCACAAGGTGTGATATTACCTCAGAGATAACCTGAGGGAGAAACTAACATTCCGGAAACTTTCCCAAGGAAGACAGAAAACACTTACCGGTGCAAACTTCTTTGTAAGTAGGATTGGGGGTGAAGCCTCCCGAGAAGCCCACCTGTGTGGAGAAAACTCCTGACAGCTGCCAGAACTTTCTCTCTGCTCCCCAGAAACATCCCATGCCTGGCAACAACAGAAGATAAAGGAAACCTAAATTTAGTGCAAAGTGGTTAAGGAGAAACTCACAGATTGAACTGCTTTGAATATGTATAATCTAGCACTGTGCCCAGGTCTCAAGGAAACATTTTCATTATAAAATGGGGGTTACCTACTCTGTTATCAATAACCTTTTGTTTACTGCTAGACAATTATAGTTAATTAAATTTTAAAAACAAATACGGTGGAGTCCATGCAAAGCTGCCTTATACCAAGTGGTTTATCTAGCTGGTACTGTCTGTCCTGACTGGAAGCAACTCTCCTTGGTGTCAGTCACAGAAAGATCTTCCTTGCTCTGTAGTCCAGACCCAAGACATTCTGCATGCAACGCACATGCCCTGGCACTGGACTCAAAATCCTTTTACATATTATATTACAGTCAAAGAACAGTGTTCACTTGGGGGTGGTTTTCTGCAATGAAATACATTAATTTCCCCATTTATGATGTTAATGTGAAGAACTAAAAAGAATCAGCAGTGACTACTATAAAGACACAATTAGCTCTTGGTATAAGCCTCAGTATCATTTCCGATCAGCCAAGAGAAGAAGCATTGTGCAGTGGTTAGTTTGTCAGATTGGAGTCTACTGAGTTAAATGTAAAAAAAAAATTACATCATTTGATTTGGAAGCACAGAAGCTTTATGCAATATCTCTGATCATCCATGTTTCCCAGTTATGGGAAACAGCTGTTCAAACAAATTACAAAGATGATCTGACTCCAATGGTAACAAGAGAAAGAAATTTTACTTGCAAAAATAGAAGCACATCTTACATGACATTTAACTTATTGTGAACAGAGTAACTTCATAAAAGGTTAACTTGCTACAGCTCCAAGCCCATGTTAAAAGAAATAAGAAGAAAAGAGGTCTTGTATATTTTATTAGACATATCCTGCCCTACCACACAAGTGGGCTCAGGCTGGTTATAACATATAGGAGACACGATAATATTAAAACAAGTAATCTGAAAACCAAATCTAAATTTAAAATCTAGAACTATCAGAGCAAGATGGCAACTAAAACAAATAACTTTAAGGCAGTCCATAATGCCTCCTGCAGGATGTTAGTCAGATGATAATTAATAGCACCCCATTTTACTACAGTGTCCTGTTGACATTCTTGGAGCAAAACAGCATAGGAGGGCAATGAAGCAGATGATTATGAAGAGGGGAGGCCAACATGGTTGAATGTCTGCTACCTCCATCAAAGGCCTGGTGGAACAGCTCTATTTTACAGGCCCTATGGAACTGTAACAAGTCCTGCGAGGCGCTGATCTCAGATGGGAGCATGTTCCACCAGGCCATGGCTGAGGCTAAGCAGACATCTTTTGAGCCGGGAACTACCAGGAGACGTTGATCTGCAGAGCACAAGGTTCTCCAGGGCACATACAGGGAGAGACAGTCCCATAGGTATGCTGGTCCCTGGCCGCATAGGGCTTTAAAGGTCAATACCATAACTTTGAACCAGATCTGATACTCAATTAGCAGTTGGTGTAGCACTATCCAGGCACTGGCTGAATGCATGCCTGCACTGATACTGCCATCAGCAAGTGCACCGCCGCATTCTGTATGGGTTGCAACTTCTGGGTCAGGTTAAAGGACAGCCCCGCGTAGAGCGAGTTATAGTAATCCAGTCTGGAAGTGACTGGATCACTGTAGCTAAGTCCTGGGAGGTGAGACAGGAAACCAGTTGCCTGACCCGCTGGAGATGATATAAGGCTAGCCTGGCAACAGTGTCGACCTGGGCCTCCACTGAAAGCGAGGCATCCAGGAATACTCCAAGGCTCCGCACCCTCAGCACTGGTGTCAATGGTGCCCACCAAGCATTGGGAGCTGGATTCCCGATCCCAAGCCTCCACAACTCTGGTACAGGACCTCCGTATTCGTTGGATTTAATTTCAGCCAGCTCGGCTGTAACCATCCAGCCATGGTCCCTAATGCCCTGACCAAAACATCTGGGGGAGAATGGATGTCATCAGCATACTGATGGCAACCCAGCCCAAACCTCTGGATCAGCTGCAGCACACTGTATTCCAGCAGGTACTGTGGAGATATCCTCTCCCCAGGCACCACCCTCTGTCCCTGACCATAGAGAATGGAGGAAAGCCATTGTAAAGCAGACCCCTGTATCCCTACATCGGTGAGGTGGTGGATCAGAAGATTGTAATTGACCGTGTCAAATGCTGCTGTCAGATCAAGAAGCAACAGCGGCACCAACCCACCTTGATCCAGGTGTCTCCAGAGGTCATCTGTGAGGACGACCAATGTGGTCTCCGTCCCATGGCCAGAGTGGAAACTGGACTGGAACAGATCCAGGATGGAGGCATCATCCAAGGAAACCTGGAGCTGCTCAAACACCAATCCTCTCTAACCACCTTGCCCAGAAACTGTTGAGACCGGGTGGTAGTTGGTAAGGACCACAGGGTCCAATGATGGCTTTTTCAAGAGCAGACGCACCACTGCCTCCTTCAAACTCACTGGGAATATCCCCCAAAACAGGGATAAGATAATAAACTCTCCTGGTGGGCCCAAACACGATCTTTGCAAGCCTTGACCAGCCAAGATGGGCCCAGGAGGCAAGTGGTAGGCTTCACAGCTACCAGGATCTTCTCCACCTTCTCCTGGGAGAGTGGACTGAAGTGGCCCAAAACCAGACCCAAAGACGGATGGATAAGGGGCTTCCAGTTCCCTTACTGTATCAACTGTGGCCAGGAGGTCCTGGCAGAGCGACGAGACTTTTGTCTGCAAAATAGCTCACAAATGCCTCACAGCTAATAGCCAATTCCTTATCATTTTGCTTGCCTTGTGGCAAGGCAGTTAACAACTGAGTTGTCCTAAATAATTGGGCCGGGCAAGAGCTTGCAGGTGCAATGGAGACCGCACAGAAATTCTTCTTAGTAGCCTTTACTGCCATTTCGTAGAACTCCATAAATGTCCTGTAAGAGGTTTTCGCAGCCATCCTCGCTCTAGCCATCTCAGCTCTTGTTTCATCCTCCATAGCTCTGGGGTATAGCACAGGACTACTTTGGCACAAGGAAAGAAAGGGTGCGGGGGGGTAATTTCATTGATGGCCTCAGACAGCTAGCTGTGCCAGACCTCCATCAACCCATCCAATGAAGCACCAGAGGGCAGTGGATCCCACAGAGAATTTTGGAACCTGCTAGGGTTCATTAGCCTCTGCGGGCAAGCATACGTTCACTCACTACCTAAACAGGGAGGGTTAGGAGTGCTCAACCAGGTCTACAGAGAAAATTGGTCTGACCATGGAACTCATCCGCTTGCAGCTGCTGGATGACCTTGGGCAAGCCACAGTTCTGTCAGAGCTGTCCTTGAAAGAGCAGTTCTCTTCGAGCTCTCTCAGCCCCTTCTACCTCACAGGGTGTCTGTTGTGGGGAGGGGAAGGAAAAGGAGTTTGTAAGCCACTCTGAGACTCCAAGTGAAGGGCGGGGTATAAATCCGATCTCTTCTTCTTCTTACCAGATCCACATTCATCCCCATGCCAAAAAATCAGACGCAATGTGTGACCCTCTTGGTGTATAGGAGCCGATACAAACTGGGAGAGTCCCAGTGCCGCCATGGATGACACCAGGTTCCTGGCATGAGAGGAAGCTGCATCATCAACATGAACACTTAAGTCCTCCAGAACTAATAGTCTGGGGTATTCCAATGCCCATCCTGGCAAAAGCAAGAGCCAAAGTAGTTCAACTCTGAAACAGAAGGCAAGCAAAAGCCACACTAGCTCAGCTTCTAATCGATGAGAGGCTGAGGCCAACTGCCAAGTGCACCTTTTGTCTTAACCTTTTCCCTCTCACATTCTCTTGCATGCAGAGTTACAATATCCAACAGGTTGAAATCCTCATTCTGCCATGAAAGTTTGTTGAACAACCCTGGGCCTCCCACTCTCAGCCTGATCCACCTCACAGGGTGGCTGTTAAGAGTATAAAATGGAGGAGAGGAGAATGATGTCGTTTTGGGTCCTATTGGGGAGGAAAGTGGGGTCTAAATCTCTAAATAAATAAGACACTGACTTCAACAAGTCATCATCACTCTACACATACAGACACCCTTAGAAAATGACAATCGTTTTTTTTTTAAAAAATCAATAAAAGAGTATCATGATCCAATAAGCCTAGTTCCAATATAGAGATGATCAATCAGAAAATGTCTCTCCTGACCAGTTTCCTGTTCACGAGTGGGCAGAATGAATTTACTTCCTGTTCAATCCAAGAATCCAGGACATGCAGTACCGTAACTCAGCTGGGGAGAAAATCATATTCAAAGTTGGCCACAAAGGAAGGAACGAGTCACGCACCAAACACCGCCATCTGCATCCCTTCTGGGAACGGTGGGTACATCGGATTTCTGTTGATGACATGGCTGGCTGAAGGAGAAGAAAGAGAGATTCATAAATCCTTTTGCCAAGTCTTCTAGAAATTGAATTATGACAACATCTTCTAACCTAACTAATCACGTCACGGGAATTCACAGTGGGTCAGTGGGACACTAAGCCACTGGAAAGATGCTTGGGGACAAAAGAAAAGCATAGGAAAGTCAGCCAGGAAGGGGAGTCAGCTGTAAAGGAGAGTTCTTAGCAAGAAGACAGCACTGAGCACAGCTACAAGGCGCCAAATTCTATAGATTCCTTTAGAACAATGAGACCACCAGTAGCCTTATGACCAATGTTCCCTCTAAGCTGTAGAGTCTTGTGAGCAAAATATTCTACTTTGTGAGCTACTGGCATAAAAATGGTGAGCGAGCGATTTGGCTGCGGCATAAATCAGTTTCCTCTGGAGCCCTCCTTCCTGAGCGAAGACAAAGATGTGTGAGCCGGAGGCTAAGAAACTGTGAGCTAGCTCGCAGTAACTCAGCTTAGAGGGAGCACTGCTTATGACCCTTTAGGAGTTTTCCCCAAACAGCCGTTCCCTTATCGACCTTCTAACCTTGGTCCCCCCCAAGTGCTTAGAACTAACCCTTCTCTGTCCATTAGAGAGATCTGAACTTCCTCCTTTTATTGGCGTCTCCTGTGTGAGAAACAAGCTCATAAGTCTTTACATAAGTCTTTACATCGGCACATTTTGTTTAATTTTTTGTTACAATAAATGGCATACGAGTGACATCGAAATGCCACATAAATAAAACGGTACTAAAAGCCATCAACCATAGCTACAAAAAATAAGGCACACCTAAGCAACAACAAAGCACAACATTAAAAGGACACAAAAACAGCCATATCTGCTCCTCCCTACACGAGGCAATCTGTTCCAGCTTTTACCTGGACCCCTTTTTGCCTTTGCAATAAAAATTGCCAGGATAAAATGATGAATGGCACACTCAACAAAGAACATTGTTTCCCCCCAAAATATCATTCTGGAAGTTGAATTACAGAGTTCATTGCCGCAGGACTAGAACAGAACAATTTTATTCCATTTTATAACCAAGCAGGTGACTTTTGCCAGTTATCAATGCAGAAAAAAATGCTAGCTGCAGAGAAGAATTCTTGGGGAATTCCTTGGCTATGCAAAACAATATAAACAACTTTGCAAATTAACCCAAAGAGAGGGAAATACAAAATGGCCTGAGTTGACCATGCTCCAGGAGGCACCAGATGCAGAGTGCAGCTGAGAATCAACTTAAAGGGGGGAAACTCTGAACTCAAAGCTTATTAGAATGCTGGAAGGGAGGATCTGGGTGGAAATTTTCCATATCATTTCTTTCTCCCCGCCAGCTTATTCCTGTCATTATCACTGTCAAGAGTCCATCTCCATATACAGTGAAGGAGCTTACAGACACAATCAGGGTTGCTGCAAGAAAAGACATCAGTGTGTAATAAAATGAAGAACCTTTAAAAGGCCTGCTTAGGACTGAGCATGGTCCTAGCCCTCAGAATGGTGAGGGCAGCCAAGAGTCAGTCAAAGTGGTAGAGAAGATGGATATGGAGAAATTAGCCTCCTTAAGCTCCTATCTTGAAAAGGAAGATTTAGGCTGGAGGGGAGGGGATGTTCCCAATTGCTTACCCTCCCCTCCGCCCTATTCTTCACAGGCCATAACCAATGTTCCCTCTAAGCTGAGGAGACTTGTGAGCAAAAATTCTACTTCATGAGCCACTAGAATTAAAGAACTGAGCAAGCAATTTGGCTGCTGCATACATTAGTCTGCTCTGGGGCCATCCTTCCTGAGCTGAGACAAAACTGTGTGAGCCAGAGGCTAAAAAACGGTGAGCTAGCTCACACTAACTTAGCTTGGAGGGAACATTGGCCATAACTTGTCAATAGCAATTACTAGCATTCGCAACTACCTGGAGGAAAAAAATGTCCTTCTGTCCCTTTAAGAGAGACTTAATAGGATGCTGTTTACCACACAGTGTCATTGACTTCCATGCCATGAAAAGCTTCAGCTGCCCATTTCTGCACTTAAAACCACTAATAAAGGGACAGGACATTTCCCGCCCTGTTGTCAACTCTAGTTATTAGGTAAAAATGGAAACTCTTTCTGCAGAGGCAGGCCGGCCCCTGATTGCCAGATGCTGGGGGGTCAAAGGAGGAGTTTGAACACAGGCGTAGAAAGATATCCCTTTTCCCTCCAGAAGGGGCAGCATGCTCACCCACACATATCTGATTTCCAGAATGGCAGAGAGATTATAAAAATGGCAGAAGTTATAAAAATCCCTACTCAGAGATCTTACAACCTACTTCAGGTGGGAGAAATAGGGGCTTTAAGGGAAAGAAAACCACAACTGAAAATGTAAACAATGCAGGCTCTGAGGTGTGGATCATGAGTCCGTCTCTTCATGGAACAGGATGTCCCAAGACCATTGCTAAGCCGCCAGTACAACCCAGAAAGTCAGCCTGCCTGCAAAAACACACCCACAACCCAATACCACTGGACACCCACCAAACTTACACAATGTTCCTCCCTTTCACAGGTCAAGGTTCTCAAAACCCTGGTCTGTTCTCTCTCTTTTCCCCCACTCTCCTTCATAGACAGCTGCTTTAAGTATCTTCCCAGTATCACGTCTTAAGACGGCTTGCTCAGATAAGGCCAGGGCTATTTTTGGGCAGGAACGCACAGGAACGGAGTTCCGGCTGGCTCCCAAGTTGGCCACGCCCAGCAGGAACTCATTAGCACAATAGGCCACACCCAACAGCAGAAACTCATTAGGATTGGCTACAATAGGGGTGTGTGGCCTAACATGCAAAGGAGTTCCTGCTACAAAAAAAGGCCCTGGGTTTTGACAACAAACAAGGTAAACAGAATAACAAGCAAAAGGTGGGTATGGCTGGATGACCACACTTCTGGTAACATGGGGTGCAGCCTAATGTGCTAATGAGCTGTGTTGTCAGGGGTGTGGCCTAATATGCTAATGAGTTCCTGCGGTTGGGTGTGGCCTATTATGCTAATAAGTTCCTGCTGGGAACCCCCCACCCCCAACTCCACAGATGGATGTAGCTGCTTGTATAGATGCTCTGGCTGTAGGGCTGTAGTCAAGACCTCCTGAAGTGAAGGCTGGGGTGGAGTGGGTGCATTGAACCGAAGATCAGCCTTGAAGAGCTCAAGCGGTCTAATCAGGAATGATTACAAATAAGTCATAAACATGTCTAAAGAGCCTTGGATGTTCCCATTTCTTCTAATGTCCTTAAAGCCTCGTAGGTCAGCAGAAGAGGCTGATTCCAGAGGCAGAAGGCTTGCATGTGCAGAGGGAAGCAAGGGTATTTTTCCCCCAGAGGCTAATGGAGTAATGGGAACAGAACCAACTAGGGAAAACTTAATGAGGGGAAAGGAGACATAAGAAGAAGAGCCAAGGAAGGAGGGTCAGGAAGCACTTGGCAGAGGAGAGCTGGCCTCATTCAGTGGCTATGAATCAAAAAGTCCCTGGTTCTGTCACAAACTCACTGCATTGTCTTAGACCAGCTGCCTGCTCTCAGCCACACACACCCCATTTGCAATATGGGAATAACAGTACTCAGAGGTCGATTCGGGGGGGATCGCCGTTCCCCCGGGTGAGGTGCAGGGGGCGGGGCACACAATGAAGCCCCGCCCCTGCTTCCGGCCGCCCCGCTTCCAGCCCTCATTCAGCCAGGAGGAGGCAGGAGAAGAGGGAGGGTAAGTTGCTTCCTCCCCGCCTCTCCCCACCCCTGCCTGCCTGGGGCCAGGGAGGGCCTTGGCGGGGCTTCCTCGCACTCCTGCCGGCCTTGCAGTTTCACCGCTGGGCCCCTGATGGGGCTCGGCAGTGGAGCCACAAGGCCAGCAGCAGCGGCCGGGACCGTTGGGGGTGGGGGGCCTTCGCGGGGCTTCCTCGCACTCCCGCACCTTTAAGACTAACAAATAGCACCTTTAAGACTAACCTTTAAGACTAAGACTAACTGAGTGGTGGGTGTGGCCTTATGACACACTTCCGGTAATGTCAGGAGGTGTGGTCTTATGACACACTTCCAGTGATGTCAGGGGGTGTGGCATATGCTAATGAGTTATGTTAATGAGTTCCCCTAGCTCTTTTTCTACGAAATGACCCCTGACAGTACTGATCTAGTACTGATCTACTTAGCAGGATTGTTGTAAAGACTGCAACAACATCATGAAAGTCAAGCACATTAAACACTTGAAAGCACTATATGGAGGCCTAAACAAGGAGATTTGCACTGCCAGATTTACAGCATGCACCACCCACCATGGCCAGCCTCACCCATTGTATTGTGCCACCCTCCCTCTGTTTTGGCTGGTGGGAGCAGGGCCAGACCCACCCAGTGGGCAGATCAGACAGAGATCAATGGGATTCCTCAATCAAAAAGAAAAACTCTTGTATTTCTACCTTTATGTTTACTGAACATACCTGAAGCTGCCTTCTACTGAGCCAGGCGATTAGCCTATCAAGGTCAATACAGTCACTTTGACCAACAGCTGCTCTCTAGGGCAGGGGTGTCGAACTTATTTGTTATGAGGGATGGTTCTGTCATAAATTAGAGCTTGTTGGGCCGGGCCATGTGTGTCATAAAATGTAATGCCGGGTAGCGGAGATATCTCTCCCTTATATGTAATTCTGTAAGACGCAAACTCACGCAATGCGCACCAACAGTGTTTGGACGGGTCGGCTGTCTGCCAACGGCTTGCCCACGTCCCATTGGCCACGTCGTCGGAGTCCCACCTCAGACGCAGCTTCACGCGGCCTGCGGAGGGTCTTCCCGGTGGCTGGCGGCGACGGCTGGCGGCGACGGGCGGCGCCCTAAGACTGGCAGCCAGCTGTGTCAGGGCGCAGAGGGGGCGAAGGCGACCGCCGTGCGGAGGAGAGGCGAGAGGCGCGAGTGGCTGGGGACAACGGGCGGCAGGCTAAGACCAGCAGCCGCCTGGG